GCAAGTGGGGAGACTGGTGGGATGGGCTGCTGGAGGCCCAAAGGATCCTGGTGACACACCACTGTGGGTGCCAGTCCAGGGCAGGGGCTCAGGCAGGCCTCCTATGCTGCTGTACAGAGCACGGCTGTAGCCTCGGTCCTGTGGCATAAGGATGTCTGTTGCCACATAAAGGGCATGGACTTTAGGCACTCCCCAAATGACAATTGTGGTTGGTTACAGTAACCCACTGTGTCTGCAATGCCTTGATCTTTATGTGGCACTGCAGGGCTGACTAGTCATGCCCACACTCCCACATCTGGCCTGACAGCCCATCATATATGTGGGTATTGGAGCACCCACTCTGTGCAAACTGGCACTGCACCTCTTCCTCACCCCCACAGTGCCAGGAGGTCACCAGTCTCCTCCTATGACTAGTTGGGTTCCCGGGTGGCAGGCATAGGCATTGGCAAGGACAAGGCCACTGGGGCTCCCATGCTAGTTCTCTGGGTCTCCACTCAGCTGTCCCTGTGATGCCAGGCCTGGGCAGCTGCCTGCAGCACCTAATTCAGGGGCACAGCATGGGACTGGGAGCTGTGTGGTGAGACTGTGTCCTGAATCACCTACCGGATCTGGTCAGGCTGGCAAGAGTAGGATGTGGGCAGCAGGAGCTGCCTGAAGCTGGGACTGGGTGCTCACAGGTCTGACAAGATGCTACACCAGCCTATAGGCCTGGACAGCATAAGCCTACAGCTGAGCAGCACTGCAGTGTCAGGCAGCATTGCCAGAGTTCAGGCAGGCTGGTGTTGCTAGCCTGCTGCCTTCCCAGGGGGACACAGGAGCCTGTAGTGGCCTCAGGGTGCCTACTTGTGCCCCAGGGCTCAAAATGCCAGATTTTAAGATCCTGAGGCTGGGGCTGGCACAGAGATGCCCAGCCCTGGGGCAGGAGAGGTTGGTCCCCTAGTAGCAGGGCTGACCAGGAGCAAATTTGTTCCCAGCTGGCATCACACTTGTTACTGCACAGTAACTAATCATGAGTAAATTTGCTACTTGCATTTGCAGGTAGCAAATTTACTCCTAAGAAGCATCATTTACTGTGCAGTGGGCATGTGCATGTGTAGAGGTACACACTTACTGTGTAGTAAAACTATGCTACTACACAGTAAAGCATCTCGTGTAGACACACCCACTGTTTTGTACTTTACTGCACAGTAAGCTTAATGCAAATGAACAGTATACAGAAACAATCTGAACAGGGTGCAGGGCCGAGGGCAAATCAGCCTGTGTGGAGCCCCGCCCCTGGACACAAGGAAGCCAGCAGCAGATTTGG